GGGCCTTCTTTCCAGAGCTTGCTGGGAGGCTGACACATAGCCCACACACCTCCATAAAACCACAGAGCTGGACTGCTATTTCCTACCTATGGTTCACAATGCTCACTTACCCCCTTTTTTTTCCATTATAAATACATATATTTCATTGGGGAAACATCAGGTTGAAAATTCTGGAGGCTAAAATAATTTCTCTCACCTAGTGTGTCAACGGCAAAAAAGCAATGCTATTTACAGTCAGCTGCTGAATGCCCTGCTCTGGGCCTCATCTGAAATTTAGAAGGTTCTCTTTGGTGACTCAATTCTTCTACAAAAGATGAAAAGAAAGAACAAAATAGGAATAAAGAAATGGAAAATATTTTAGCTCCCTCTGTTTTCTCCTTTTCTTTCACCAGGCTCATTTTCTATGAGATCTGACAGCCAAGAATGGGGCTCACCTTGGCATACTCTAACTATCTGGGCTAGACTTGAGGACAGCCCAGCCTCCTTGATTCTGTTGCCTTGCCTGTCTTGACCCAAGAAGACTGATTCTTCACTCCTCTTCGGCTGGACTTCCTGTTTGTACACTCTTCATTGTTCTTGGTCATGGTAAACTATTGGCTTTTGACCATGTAGGAAAAATGGTGTCAGGGTGGTTTAGTCTGGCTCCCTCACTCCTTATCTTATCATATTTGCAGACCACTGGATAAACAACTTACATTATTAGTTGTATTGCACTTGTGCACTTGTTCATGTAGTTATGACTTTGCTGTTTTACACCATTTTATGTAATGCACCTGTGCATGTGTGACAGTCTGGTTTTGGCAATGAACTGCTATTGTCTGCAGCTCTTTTAAGAGAAAGGGAGCACCTGGTCAGTTAGTTAGCTAGCCCTCCTCAGTTCAGCCTTGGTTCAGTTAGTTCAGCCCTGGTAGCCTTGGATTGGCTTGGTCTGGCTCCACTCAGCTCAGCAATACGGGCTGTGAACTCCAAAAAGGAGAAGCACTCTGCAGGCACTACTACAAGCTCTGTGAGCTCCATTTAAACTCAGCCAACAAAAAAGATGACACCAGTGCTTCTTGTCTTTTTCTAACTCACGGCATCTGTATTTGAACCACCCTTTGGAGGAAGAAGAACCTTGCAAAACAGACTGCCCAGAACTTCTGCACTCATCTCCCAGAACTTTGGACTTCAATGGGACTGTGGTCCAGTTTATCCTGCCTCAGATCCCTATTTGCCTCCCACACCCTGAAGTGACAGAAAATGGGGATGGGTACTGGGGGCAGGGAGACAACTCTGTTTCTAAGCTATAGTACTCAGCCTTGGAGGACATTGGAGGGAATTAAATTGGGGGGGGGCAGGGGGAGGGGTTAGCAGAGCACAGGTTATCTCTAAATTGCCACCATGATACATGAACTCAGGGGAGTAAAGCTAATGCACAAGGAATATAGGAGGGCAGTTCAGACCACCAAGAAGCTGAAGGAGGCCCCTATTAGACTTAACTAATTTGGAAATGGATTCTTGTCCACCAAATACAAATAGCACACTGTAGTCTGGTGTCATAAACAGAATAATGTTATCACCTCCCCATCACCCTCAAAAAATCTTCAAAACCATATTCATAAACAAAAAGAGTAGCTATTTTATTAAAATATTTACAACAGCAGACTCTAAAGACAAATAAATAAATAAATGTACATTAAAATCTTTACGGAACTTTCTTACTGTTTTCCATTACAGCAGTACTAATTTACATCCCCACACAATGTAAAAGATTGCCCCTTTCTCTGTATCCTCTGCAGAATGTTATTGTTTGTCCTTTTGATAGTAGCCATTCTAATTGGGGCGAAATAGCTCATTGTGGTTTTGATTTGCATTTCTCTAATGATGAGTGATGCTGAGCATTTTTTCATATGTTTGGTTGGCTATCTATATGTCTTCTTTTGAGAACTGTTTATTCAGGCCAATTTTTAATCAGATTAAAAATCAGCAGCTGGGTTGAGTCTCTTACATATTCTGGTTGTTAAACCCTTATCAGATGTATAGTATGCAAATATTTTCTCCCATTCTGTGGATTATCTCTTTACTCTGTTAATTGCTTCCTATGCTGTGCAGAAGCATTTTAATTTTTTAGGCTTTTGGTGGGACTGTAAATCAGTAGGCCATTATGCAAAACAGTGTGGAGGTGCCTCAACATACTAAATATAGAACCGTCATAAAACCAAATAATCCCACTTCTAGATATATATCCAAAGGATAGGAAATTGGTATGTTGTAAAGATATTTGTACCCTAATGTTTATTTTAGCACGATTCACAGTAACCAAGATATAAAATCAACCCAAGTGTTGATAATGAATAAAGAAAAATACACACACACACACACACACACACACACACACACACACAGAATATTACGCAGTCATTACAAAGGACAAACTCCTGTCATTTGAAATTAAATGGGCAAGCATAAAGGACATTACATTAAGTGAAATGAGCCAGGCACAGAAATAGAAATACTATAATATTCCACAGGGAGAATGTAATTGGCAACAACTTGCTATGTATCTCAAAGTAAATACAAGGGAAAATTTTGGATGTTCCCAACACAAGTATTGACAAATGGTTGGGATAACAGTAGGCTAATCACCCTGATTTAATCATCACACAATGCATTCTTGTACTAAAAATCACATTGTGTTCCCACAAATATGTACAATTACTATGTGTTAATAAAAGGGAAAAAAGGCAAGACAATAAAGATCATGTCTTCTAAAACACTCTTTAAACAATTATAAATGCATGATCATCACTTATGTAACCAGGAATAACTCATGCACCTAGCACTTTATGACAAACCATTTTACATTTTTAAGTTATTTTTTCTTTTTAAAAATATTTATTCATTTATTTCTTCCATAAGCAAGAGGCAGAGAGAGACAGGCAGACAGAGAAGTACAACTGAGGCCCAGATCATTGCCATGACCACACATAACTGGTGTACTCAGGGAGGTCTTGGGGCACAAACCCAAGACCTTTCCCATGCGTGTCCAGTTATGTTACCACCTGACCTCCCATTTATATTTTATTGTTTGGAATAAATAAAGTTTTGTTGTTGTTGTTTTTTAAATAAAATACTTTGCTGCCCCCTGAAACCATGTCCCCTTGTGGGACAGTGACCATCTAGCAGACTGTCAAATCCTCTGGATCTGCTGCCAATGGACACCCTTTCATCCCTGTTCTGCTTCTTCTTTTAGTCTTCTATGGATGTAGAAACCAGAAAGTCATGTTAGAATAGTCTGTAAATTAAGAGTAAATAGAATACTGGGGCCAGCAGATGGCATGGTAGTTAAGGTGCTAGATTCCCACATGGCTAACCACAGTTTGAGTCCTAAACCTGGTGACTTGAAAATCATGCTGGGTACATGTACCTGCCTGCCCAAAATTCTGAGAGGAGGAGGAGAAGGCATTGCAGTGTGACCATTCTCCTGGAGAGTGATTTCTCACTTTCTCTCTCTCGGTCTCTCTCTGGAGAATGCATGTGCCCTATGGCAAAAACCTAAAATATTAAAATAAATAAATGAAAAGAGTAAACACAATACTAATAAGTGGCTGTAATATATAGTAATTAATACCTATGACTAAAATGTAATAAATAGTAATGAATATCTATCAGTCAAAATCATGGACTTGGTTCTGGGCTCTTGCACCTGGGTTCTAGATTGGTGCAGATGCCACAAAAACAACAAATCATGGCAGTCCAAAAAATTAGATAAGCCAGCCATCTGCTAATTAAATCTATAATTTAGCATGAATCTGTTGTTCTTCTCTGAAATAGGTATACAGAGAATTTCTGGACCAATGTGAAGTGAACCTGATAGTTCATAGGTCCAGTAACAGATTGACACCAGTGATAAGCAGGAAAACCCTCTGAGAACTCAGATGTTTTAAATATACTAGAGGATCAAATCGAGTCACCTGAAGATATTGCCAGCCGATGTCAACCTGGTGACCTCAGAGGCCAGAGTCAGCCTTCTCTGCCTAGACTCTGCCAATTCTCTTATATCCTGTGTTTTCCAAGTCCAATATATCCCTAACCTAAACCCCAAACAGTTGAAACTTAGCCTATGTTCCTATCAATTTACAAGTGCCGGTAGAGATGTCTAAAGATTCCCTCTTGGGAACCAGCAGTTAGCCTAATGGCTATGTCGCTGGACTCCCATGTAGTCAACCACAGTTCGCGTCCCGGACCCGGTGGCTTAAAACTCACGCTGGGCGCATGTGCGTGCATGCCCAAGATCCCGAGAGGAGAATGGAGGAGAAGGGATTGTGGCGTGACCATCCCCCCTGGGGGGTGATTTCTCGTTTTCTGTCTCTATGTTTCTCTCTGTCTGTCTGGCGAGCGCACGCGACCTATAGTGAAAAAAAAAAATCCTCTCAAAAAAAAAAAAGATTCCCTCTTTAGACCTTGTCCCAAAAGTGATTAACACTTGGCACATGTGGGCCTTCTAAGTAGGATGACCACAGAGATGGTATTCTATAAAAGTTAAGCACACCAGCTCTGGTGGTATTATACAGAGGTTAACCACACCAACTCATAATTGTGAAAATCTCACATATTCGTGGGGGTACAATGTGATTTTCAGTACAAGAATACAACGTGTAATGATTAAATCAGGGTAACAAACATATCAGTCATCTTAACAATACCACCTTTGTGGCTGATGGAGTCAGATTGCGTAGGCCACATCAGATAATCACCCTGCTTCTGAGAAGTTTGTGGCTATAGGGAAGGATAGCTGGTCCTTTAAGGTGATTTTCACTGGCTTCCTTCCCTTTATTTTGCACACTGGTCATCCAGAAAAGAGAGCTGTAGAAGAGAAATCTCCATAGCTGAGTACGTGCTGGCTGATGCCATGGTCCTGAAGAAGAATAAGTGGGGTGAGCGAGGACTGGATTCAACCAAAGGCTACCTTCGGGCCATCCACAGGGTCCTGAGTGAGGACAGGTGATGCTCCAGCTTTCTCAAGTATACAATGTCATCATCATCCACTGGAAATAATGGAAAAATAAAACAAATGATGGTCAGTTCAGACCCACCTCTGTCATGGGGCTTCTCCCTCTTCATTCCTGGGGAGCCAGGGAGACAGGATATTAATGGATGCTTTAGCCAGAGGAAACACACTGCTCTTTAGTAAGTATAAATCAACCTGAAATATAATCAACCTTGACTTCTCACAGTTCCTATGAATGATGACAGCCAAGATACAGGCTGATTCTGTATTCAATTCTAAATGAATTTTTTTTCCCCACGAATTCAATTTAGTTTTCTCACACAAGTTCTATGCAGGTGTGCAAACCAACTAGGTAGCAGAAATCCATTTGAGCATATTCAACATGTTTACATTTCTGGGCCCATGAGCCTGACAGCTTTATGTGTGATGAATAGTCCCTCTAGCTCACATAGAGGGGATCTTTGGAAAAGCACTCCCCAAGTCAATACATTAAAATGATGCAGCCACTGATGAAGATGATCATGATGAAGTTGCTGATGGTGTCCGAGAAAGCCCCAGAGTGAAGTTCCAATAGAATGGTTGCTATTTCCTGCACATCTTGGCTGGCCCTGATGGTATCCTCCACAATGAGCCAGAGACAGTCACAGCTAGAGAGAATCTTAGAAACCACCTAACCCAGCTCATTCATTTCACACATGGGCTATCTGAGGCCTGGAGATTTATTGTGATTTGCTTGAGGTTCCAAAGCAGGTTACAAGGAGTGCCGTGGCTTCCACCTGAGTCTCAGAGTCCAGCCCTATTCTCTTTCTGTGACAGTACGTTGCTTTTCTGGGGCTTGCTCTGTCTATTTCAGGTACCACACTCATGGTCCTGCTTCCACAGCTCTCAGCCTACACCATGGAAGGATCCCCTGGGATCAAAAGGTGATGCCTAAGCTGGATGTTAAGCTAAGTAGCTTGAAGATGGGCTCATAAGATTGACTGATTGAGAGAGAAATTTTTTGCTATAAGGCACATGTGCTTACCAGAGAGACAGAGAAACAGAAACCGAGAACTCCCCCTCCAGGGAGGATGGTCACACTGCAATCCCTTCTCCATTCTCCTCTTGGGATTTTAGGCATACACGCACACATGCCTGGTATAAGTTTGAAGCCACTGGATCCAGGATTCCAATCACAGTCGACTACGTGGGAGTCCAGCCATGTAACCACTACACCATCTGCTGGTTCCAGGCTCAGAAGATTTATTTATTTATTTTTATTTTTTAAAATTTATTTATTTATTTTTATTTCATTTTCTTCCATACATTCGATCACATTATTATTTGTCTTACAAAACGGATATTTCAACAGGGAACATTTCTCCCTAGTACTGTTGATAAAACTACGAAATATCTTCAACAGACAATACCACACCTCTTTGTGCTATTAATGCTTTGCCTCCCTGTCCCTCCCCCACATGTCCTTCCTCAGACCCTCCTCTTTCACACACACTATATCTGGTATTTACATCTATATACTGTGTTTCTATATCCTTTAGACAATTAGTTTCAGTCATAGAGTGCAGACACTCTGTATATATTAAGTGGGGACATACAATGCCTCTCCTTCATAGCATGGCTTGCTT